CCATTTTACCATGATTATGTAGTCCAAGTGAACTAAACTCAGTGTTGAATTCCTGTGCAAAAAATCCCTATCCAGTGTAAAGGTCGGATTTCAACATTGATTAAACTTGAATGGTTAATTCAATAAAGTTTGTTATATTACTATGGTAGTTCAGCCTGAGTTAAAATAAACTATAATATAATATTCACCTTCTTTTATTTCACCATTCTAATAAGATTCATATTCTTTATAGAATGTTTATGTTTTTAGAAGAACATAGGATTTGTCTAATGTCATGAAAAAACTAGTATTTATGTTTTAGATCTCAACAACTATAGTTCTCACTATGAATATAATTAAGACTGATTTCTTAGAACACTTATTAATTCTATTTTGCATCTTATTACTGATTTACTATTTAAAATTCCTGAATTTCCCCGATCTTTGTATAACTAAATAGCATATTATCTAAACTTAGATATGTTTATTCCCCTGCATAATAATACTACAAGTTTTTTAAACCATTTAGGTTGATGAAGATGATGATATTTCAAATGATCTTGACATCCATCCTATCGATGAACGTCGTCGACGTAAACGAGCTACACGGATAGAGCCAAAGAGTGAGAGAATAGATGGAAAGTCAACAAAAGTTGTTTATTTGGTACGTCTTTAAATTTATATCAGTTATTTCTTAAGTAGTTTGTTGTGCAGATAATGTTTTCATAACTTTCTTGATCTGAGACATGTTTCAAATAATGTCATTTGTGAGAAGGGTGAGAGCTTTCTGAGATGATTCTTCAACAGTGGAGAATTTCACATTTCTCTGCTGGACAGTAATTTATATTTCTATCATATAATTTTTTTTATGTGCTCTACCGATTCAGATAAAGCTAAAAACATTACCAATGAATCCACAAGTCAATCAGACCACGTGTGGTATTCCACCTCCAGGAGACGTATATATTCGATACTTCCTCAACTCCCTAGTAAATTTTACACAATATGTACTGTTATATGAGGAATCTGGTGGTTTTTGTCAACCCAACCCAAGAACTGAAAAGAATTGAAGGAGATACAGTTATTTTCTTTTTGGTATACGAGGAAATTGTTTATCATACTTTGTCCGAGGTTGTGATGGTATAGTAATACAATATCTGTAGAGATTCTCCTAAACCCAATAATCATTGGGAAGTAAAAGAAAAACCAGCAGTTTTCTGTTGAGGTTACACACATCTCGGAAGCATCAAATTCAAAGCCTACTTGCAAGTATAAGGTAGCAAAATGTTCGGCATGCTATCAGTGGAGTGGATGTGGTTGCGATTATGATGGGATACCAGTTGCAGAGAAATCAAGTTGTAAAAGAGGCCAGAGAAGAATTTTCTTTGGTGCTAACAAAACTTCCAAGTTGCCGAAGAGAAGCACATCTACTTACAGGCTGGATATGTTCACAGAATTGTCAGAAGATGTGGACAGCCAATGACAGAGTGACGAGATAGAACGTCACGTGCGATCGTTATACCCATAGAAGAAGCCACAACAAAATATTTCTCAGAACAAGCCCTACAGATCCATATATTTTATTCCAACTTTTCCAGATTTCTGAATCTTATGCAGGCTTTATTTTGTTACCAAAAATTACACAGTGGATTCAGAGATTATTTTTTAAATGGCATAATCATGATAAATACTATATATTAAAGTGGAGATAGTAAATCATCGCTTTGATCCTACAATTTTCGTTATCCTCAAGTTGACAGTTACGATTTTGATCACAGTTGGACATCAGAAATTTAAGGTTTTATTTTAAGCTGAATTGCTGAATTTTGGCAGTATTTTAAACTTGTTGGTTAAAAATTTTGTGGACATCTCCTGCCATTTTTCTGTGTGTTCGGATGTTGCTGAGTCCTTCTTCAGGATTTTCAGTCCTCTCCCTGCCAATAAAATCTCACCACAGTTGGTAATGATCATTAATTTTTCACTAATACCAAGTGACAGCTAAAGATCTGAAGAAGAACTGAGCCTGAAGTGCCATCCCAGCACAAAGAGAAGAAAAATGGGTGAAGATGTCAAAAATATCTCAACCAACAAGTTCAGGTTTACTCTTTTCTTTTGATTATACATATTCACATTTTGGCTTTCATTTTTACAATAGTTTTTAGGTTTTGACCCACATTTTCATAGTATAAATTGATATTTTGATCTTTATTTTCCAAATGTAAATACAGGTTTCAGTCTTTATTTTGACAATACATATTCAGGTCTTGGACCTCGTTGTGACAGTGCAAATTTAACTTATGGTCTATGTTTTTGCAAGACCAATTCAGGTAAAAAATTTCAATGAGAAGAGTTATTAATCCTTTCCAGCCTGGTGGTGTAATCTTAGCAACTTTTGCATGTACATTCATAAAAATTGATAACTCAACAATGAAACTATATCTCAAATGCTGCCAGTTCAAACATAAAGCATGATAAATGTTCAACATTTTTGAACCTCAGTTAGATTTTGTGGTTAAATTTATGGTCTATATTAAAATAAAATCCATGACATTACATTATTTTATACTGTGCTGTTATGCAACATCTCAGTAACTGTTGACTGAAAGCCAGTTTTAACATACTTATTAGAAAAATACAATCACAGGCCTAGTGACATCATGTGCTAACCCGTCTGGTGAAAGAAATAGTTTATTAAAATATCTTATATATACTGTCAAAAGTAATATAAATAGATAGCGTTCATCTCATTATATCTTGTGTATAAAAGTTTCCTCTGTGATCCTTTCAGGAATTATGTACAGCTGTTTCAAATAGACCCCACTGATCTCTTAAGTTTATGCTGGGGGTGAAGCCCACCATAAGATGATATGAGGGGAAAGATCAGGCATAATTTCTTAAAAACGTAGTGATTTCATTTGCCCTCATAAAAAAACATGAGATATTGGAGTGAAAGGGTTAATAGAATATCAGGTTTCTCCTATTCAGTTGCATTCAGTACTTGTGTTATTAGTGGGGATTATTTCCAAAAGAGAAACTCACATTCAAGTTAAATGAATTGAAAATAAAAGGTATGTTTAGGACACTAGCATTTCAGGGTAAATGATAATTTTTTATAAATTCTCCTATTTTCTTCATGACTTGGCAAATGGCTATTAAAAAAATTATTTAACCTAGGACTGTGAAGAAGGGACAGCCAAGTGTTTCACATTTGTCTGCACATTACTGAATGTAGAAGCTAAGTCAACATCTTTGATAAAGATCCGTGCTCGTCTGTGGAACAGCAGTTTAGTGGAGGTATGTCACAATGAGTTAAGTAATAAGTTCACAATGGACAATTTGATAATGTTTGAAAAATATGAATGAATTAGAACTTATGTTTTTTAATTTGTCAGATAATGTAATAGTGTTTAAACTGTGTTAAAAATAGAAAGTTTGAAGTACCAATTTTACATAGTTATCATAAGAAATTTCAAATTTGAAAGTGTTAAGTCATTTTTTTAAAGAGTAAAATGGTTATGTTTATATGTTTCTCTGAAGAAAACTTTTCAAATTATTTTAACAGTAGGTGTATGTATAGTAATAATGCCTCTTATTTCAGGATTATTCAGATGTGGACTTAGTCAGTATTAAATCTAGAGGTCACATTGATACTAGTTCACTCAAAGGCATTCGAAATGATCCAGAGCTTGATAAAGCATTTGTAAGTTTCACCTTTTTGATTATATATGTTTTCTTAATTTCCAGAAGAGAGCTACTTAAGATTCTTCAGAGCACAGAAATCCTTTTTTTCAATCTCCTCTTTCATGTTGTTTCAGAATTCAGTTTGCAATTACATCTTTATGGATGAAACCAGTTGTAATGGGTAATTTTTGTGTTTAATGATAAATTTAATACTTTTTGTATGGGATATTCTGAAGTGGGTGAAAAAAAAAGCAAACTGCTCTGACTAGGAATTGTTTACAGCATAATACACAATCACATTAGTATGTTAAGATCTTTGATCCTCCTAATGAGACACCAGGGCTTCATTCAGTTCATTGATAATAAATTGTTTCATTGATGAACAAACTGATGCTTGAAAAATCTAAAAGTATATAAACTCCTGCTGAAGAGAGTAAGCTTGAAATGTTAAATTGAAGATATATATATGCTCTACAAGTACATTTTATTTTTACCACGAATAAAGCGATATTTCAAATACCAAATCTGATAAAAGTGAAAATCAGTAGGAGGTATAATTTTTTTTCCTTTCTGTTAATATATTATCATTTATTTTATTCAGCGAAAAATACACATACAGTTTAGAAAGATTGAAAAGACACAAATGAATGTTATGTTTACATAAGACTCGTATGTGAAGTTCTCATCAATCTGTACATTAACACGATAAAAATGAATTTGTTTGAAGAATAACCATTACAAAAGTTTAGTGGTTACAGGTTCAATTGGTAGACAGTAACTTGCTTAGATGCTGTTTATAATTTAGGTCATCAATCACTAAAACACTTTGTTAAAAACCTTTCTGACATCTTTTTTATTTTTCGTTTTAAATTTCTCAAACAACTTTTTAAAACTTTTTTTAAGTGCATTGTTTGATAAATGGATTTTATTTTTACACATCCAATTAAAGAAACAGAACTGTGTACATTTAAAAAATTAGATCAGTAAAATATGTAATAGTTATGAATAAATGAAGACAAACTATTTTATTCTGTTTCTGACAAACAGATAATGTTAATTTTTAATTTAACAGGCTGAAACTAAGGCATACCCAGAGATCTCTTTGATTGGAGGTAAAGGAGGTGTTCCATGGTGGGTTATTCTTTTGGCTGTGCTTGGTGGCCTTATACTCCTCATCGCTCTGATTATTATATTATTCAAGGTAAGTTTTCTTATATTTTAATTTGTTGTAAGTATATATATATACATATATATTGGGATTCCTGGTATGTAGCTACCATTTTCGTAGCTGTTTTTTCTGACAATATGAAATTCTAATAACGACTACCACAGCTGATTTTTTTATAGTTTTTTTATCTGTTTGAAATTGTTAGAAAAAAGATAGTAACCTATATTGTTGAATAACTGTGATTTTATTCTTATATTGACGATTTTAACAAGCTTTTCCTAATCTTTGTAGTGTGGGTTTTTCAAGAGGAAACGTCCAGGCTACGAACCAGCACCCCTAGACGAGAAGGAAACAAATAATATCTAAACAGTGAGGCCTAGTGAAATGGAAAACACAAGCAGTGATATAGTAAATAAATTTTTAGGTTTTTTTTGCTGTTGTTATTGTGAATGTCTGACAAAGTGACCACTGCTAAAGAAGAACGTTGATCTACCTCAGATCAAACTGAAAGGCTATTTAATTTACAAGACAACAAGCACAGAAAGGACAGCTATTATAAATACTTTTGCAAGTTTGGCCACTATCTGTGCATGCGAGACATGGCCCGTGTGTGTGTGTACAGAAAAAAGATGGGGATTGTGGGGAGGGGGGGGGGTGTCTGCGGGTGCTTTTGTTCCTGTGGGTATGTAGTCCTGATCTTTTCTTCGTGTTTTCATAATAGATTTTGTGTCATTGTGATGTTTTAAACACATTTAATGTTTTAGAAACTTTTTGAAACTGTGCTAACAAATTAATGAATGTGAAGTTGTACAGCGGTCATTCATATTATTACACTGAAGATGTTTGTAAGTCATTATATTTGTAAGATTACTCTGATAATTTTGATTTTTTTTCTTAATCTTAAACAGAAAAAAAAAAGTATTGAACACTATCTATTCATCATTATTGGATCAAAATTACTGGAAAATGCTACTTAAAATAGATTAAGCATACTAAATGTATACAGAAAGCGTTATTTGTTAAAAAATATATATATATTTGAAAAGAATTAAGTATATAGTTAAATTCTTTTTTGGTAATGTTTTGGTGATTTGGTAATGTTTTGAAAGAAGAATATTTTATGAGTCTGTTAATAAACATGGAATACTGTATTGTTGTTGTAAGAAGTGTTAGAGCTGAGTTGTCTCCAAGAGAGAGGAAAATGTTTGAACAAGTATGAAAATGTGTCTCTGACAGTGCTTTCTTTTGTCAAACTTTGCAAAATAGCAATGGTAATAAAATCTTAAAACCACATTCAATTAATCGTTAACTAATGAATATGGTTTTAAAGTGATTCCTATAACCAACAGTGCCTTCTTTTCATTGGTATATATATATTTTATATAGATTTTATCAGAACATATTTTTTAAATTTCTACTTCTAATAACTGTAAGATATTTAAAGTTATTGAAATATCTGAACATGCCAACACGTGCTCATTTCATCTTTGAAACGTTACTGTAACTTTATGAAAAGAGTATTGTAACAGTGGAAGAATGAAACATTACAACAAAAACAAGTTATCTCAAGACTAAACAGCAATATAGTAAATAAATATATTCGTTTCTAGCTTTATACTTTTCTGAGGAATGTCTTTTGTTGTTTACAACATTTGAATTTAAAGTTTATTTTAATGTTTAAGTTGATTATTTAAAACAAATATCAAAAAAAGTACAGCATTTATTTTTTCAATCTAAAATATCTTCAAGATGTTGTTACAAAATCTTCACCCATTATTTATCTTATATCACGATCGACAAAGCTTATTTTAATGAAAATCACTCCCCACAGTGAACACCACCATGATATATAAAGTAACATTCTTGTGTGTTACTACCCTCAACCTTTATTAAGATATAAGTGATGGAGGGAAAAAAAGCCTCTGTGTAACTCTTTATTTTTTATCTGAAATATATGAAGATAATATGTTTTCCATTTTCTGAGCCCACGTCATAGTATTTATTTTATGATAACAATCATTCTTTGATAGATTGTTTAGGCAGAGTATTCTTGTTGAAATTTAGTTGAATGGACAGCAACTGCCTGTTGTAGAAACACAAATATAGAGGGCGAAGTTTTGAAAGTCTTCTGCCTTTTCGTCTTCAGGTCAAAGACAAAATTTGAAAGAATTCAACTAACTTTCAAGATAACAATCTTGTTACTCTTGAATTACCAAAATATCTGTTGTTGAAACATTTGATGTTCTAGACTTACACGAAGTGCCTGTAAACACAAAGCCTATATTTTTCACTAATAAACCAAATGCTGTGTTACTAATATTTACCATCCATATAGCATCTATGATAATACTTTTTAGAACTTGTTGGCTTAAATATATCTTCATATCTGTGTTCTGGTAGTGAAGTAAAACCATTATAGCTTATCCAAGCTACTCTTAAACTTATAACTTGAAGAAAGTTGTCATTTGATACAGTAAAATATGTTTGATTAGATTTTATTTTTTATAAGTAGTTTTAATAAAGATACTTATGGCTGGGGAACAACATTGTAGAGTGTTTTTAAATGCTCTTCTACATTTGTAGTGTACTGAATATTTTGAGCAGGATGCCCAAAATTATGAGCATCAATGTAGTATTCTGATGAAACATGTTTATATGTATTGTTTTTATCCACCTTTTGCTGTCATGAAAGCTCTGTTTATTTCTTGTTGTTGACAACATATTTCCTTCAATGAAACAAACAAAATTTAATTCCACTGTTAGTTATAAATCTACAAAAATTATATACATAGGATTATTGTAGAGTAATCTATAAAATACAGGTTTATTTCAAGTTGTACTCTATGTAGAGGAGTTCCGTTAATAAGAAAACTTGAAATGTTTCAATAAAATTAAAGAAAAAAAAACAGAGTTAAAGTGATTTTTTTTAATATGTATATTTTCATATACCATTTTAACATGTAATAATTTAATAGGCAACATTGTCTCTTAGTGTTGATATCTTGCACGGATACTTCTCTCATCGAATTCTTTTCATTTGTACGTTGATATTTTCATCCAGTTAGATTTTCTCAAGCTGCATTCAAATTCTTCTGAATTTCACTTGTATAATGTAAACTGAAGTTTTTAAGAGAGAGAGAGAGAGAGGGAGTGGTTAAAGTTGAGGTTTGTGTCTCTAAAGAAAATTCAAAAACTTTGAAAAGTGTCTGTGTTATATATGTTCTTTGCTGTAATTTTAAATAACAATTGATGCGTTAACTTTAAGAAGTATTGATCTTGGAGGATTTTGTCAGAAATTGTTTAATCAGTTTTTTTTTCTTCTTCTGACAGAGTTCTGTCTCTATTTTTTTTTCTTTGTATTGTTATTTATTGAGGAGTTGATGTGAAAATTATAAGTTTTTACTTGCATAATAATTTGATATGGTAAAGAAATAATGTATGGAAAATCTATTTAATTCTAATTGAAATGTATTCTTTGTAAGATAAACATGACAACCTATAACCAGTAAAGAAATATTTCAATTAGCTGTTAAGACTTAATACATCTGGGTTTTCTAATAATCTTCATTAGAGTGTTCTAGTAAATTAAATGACTTCAAGCTAAATTCTTGCATGAATAAGTAATCTATTTTATTTTAGAGACCCTATGTTATTGATCATCTAGAAGTAATCTGTTTCACTCTTATGTTAGTAATTGATCTCAAAGATTGTTGTAGTTTGAAAATAGTTTTATTTCCATCCTCGCTTATTTTGAGAATGCAATTTTGTTGAATACCAGTAAAGATTGGATTTCTTATGGAGTTAGAATCTCGTGAAACAACGTTTTAAAAAGGAACAGTGACGTGATTTAAAAGGACGTAGTTAATTTTCTTAGCTATTTTTAATTTTTATTAAGAAGTCACATTTTTTTATCATTATACTCAAATACATGAATCTGCTAAGTTTGAGTTGTGGTTTTAAGAGGTATGCAATGTAAATAAAAAGGAAACCGACGATATGTCAAGCGTCTGTGAAGGTATTATAGGTAGCAAAGATCTTAGGCTTTCGCACGATCTGAGTCAGAGTTTTTGTGTTAATGTATAACTTTAAAGTTTTGTGTCTTGTTTTATGTAACATAGTAATAAGTTTATTCTAATCATGTACACTAATTACCCTAACTGTTAAATTGTTTCATCGCAAAGCTACAAAATAGGCTATCTGCGCTCTGTCAAACACTGGGAATTGAACCCAAGATTTTAGCGCCGTAAGTCCGTAGTCTTACCGCTAACCCACCGGGGGACTAACTATTAAGATACATACGTGAAGTTGGAGATTTTAATATATCGTACACTTTGTACTTCGTTATGATTATAATATTAATAATATGAATAAAATAGCCAATAGATGGTGCTAGTGTTACTGGTCCAATTTACTGATTGTAAGCGGTTTTGTAGATAACAATGGTTGGTGTTCAGTTGTGTTAACATTGATGGCTTATAGAAAATTAGAAACGAACTTAAATGTTTTGCATGGAATTTTTAGAAGCCATTGTTTTACTAAAACTCATTGTTATCGGATCTTTTATTAAGTAACATAGCTAGAAAACATTTATGTTTTAAGAAAATAAAAAAACAACGTTGTCACTCGCAGGGTAACTAAAATTTTGTCTCATACATGGGGAGTTTTATTTTGTTTGATTTCTTGCCTGTGTAATTTTTTCTGTACATTTTTACTGGAGACATTTGGCTCCACATAATAAATTAATATCTTTAAACTCCTACTGTGGTACTTGTGAGTAATTTTATTTAGAAAGTTATTGTGAATATACCAAATAAAACATTAAATGTATGCCTCGATATTATTTATTTATTTAATGCAAGTTATACGTTGTGAATTTTTTTATTTATTTTACGTTGTAATCAGTTAAGACTTCCGTGTTCACTCTTTCGTTTTCGTCGATAACATGTTTTTATTTTCTAAAAAGGGGAAACATGGGTAAAAATGTCGTTCACTTTACTGTACAGAGTGGATGATAATAATAGAAATTAAAAAAGAATAACCAAAAAATTGACAAGTACTCTAATGATGCCACGCTGTAACTTGTTTATATTTTCTTTTGATTAGGTAATTATATTAATAGATTTCTTTGATGACTGCTTTAGGTTAATAATGTTTAAAAGGCGTGTTAATTTGTTACTCTGCAGTAACTGACACCCACCTGCAGATTAGATACGGTTAACCAGGTTTATTTACTCTTAACTTTATATTTGTAGCCCACCCCCTAAAAATGTTGAGAACAGTTATATACTTAGATGGTTAACTTCCATCTAGAAACATGCTTGTCACGTCACTATTTTAAGTAATGTTTTATAATGATGAATTATTAATTTGTTAAGCCATTTGTAAATTTCCAGCAGCCAGAACGGGGCACGAATTGGCATTATGGCAGAGTTCTGAATTTTGAAGTTACCTCTTCGGAGATATTAATTTGTTTAGTTACCTCTTCGGAGATATTAATTTGTTTCGAAACCCGAGTTATTTCGTGGTTCATATTAACTTTGACATTTAAACCGCAGAGGGTTGAATATACATCCAAGAGTGTTACAACTCGTAGCTCTTTAAAAGAATAACACATTTAGCTTTGCTGATCATTGTAAACTTTTCTCAATACTTTGTTCAGGTTTCTTTTACTAATTTTAATCGTGTAATTTCATCAACATTCAAAAGAAAAATGGCGTGTCACTAATAGTACAAAACATGGGAAATCTTATTTCAAAGGTCTGATTCGTTTTATTTGAGCTACATGGTTTAAAATTAATAGGATGAATTAATTCGGTCAGGTCGTGTTTCTGCTTTTTTTACTCACAGGAAACTTTGATTTATCTTTATGATTGGTTTTCACTACATTTACGCGCTGGTTTGTTGTGAAATGAGCTCATCACATGAATGAAAGAAGAAATAAAATCTCGTATATTTTTCATCTCTTGAAGATGGTAGGTATATATCCTTTACTAGAAAGCCACTAGCGCCCTCATCTTTCAGGCCATGGTAATTTACGGAAACAATACTCGACACGACGTTTGGCAACGTGCCATTAACGTTATATGCAGCTATAGGTAAGTATTACAATGTTAAATTATAGTTTTGTAAATCATTAACGAAAGGTGATCTAAACGTCGTACCTGTACTAAAAACTGTAACTCGTAATAAAATATGAAAAACTGTATACTTTACAAATAATCCATACCAATTCTTTTTAATGTAATTTCTCCTTTTTTTTTGTACTATAAAAACTTTTAATTTTCACAATCCTGGTAAAGTTACAGAAGCACAAAGTAAGATTGACGACTATGTCAGATTCATTAAAATAGATATTTAATTATTAAACTTTACGTTTCTTAAGAATAACACAAAGGTTATTGTGTACTGGACATTATCTTCCGTAACGTTTTATGTTTAGAAATGTTAACTGTATCCTATTTGAAAATCATAGAACTTTTTATGTGATGGCTTTGGATTCTGTTTGTTTGTAGTTAAGCACAAAGCTACGCAATGGGCTATTAGTGCTCTGCCCACCACGGGTATCGAAATCGGGTTTTTAGCGTTATAACTCTGCAGACATACCGTTGAGCCACTGAGAGGGCGCTTTGGCTTCTGAACTATTTTTCATCCAAGTTAAACTCACGGTTTTTACCCGACTTTTTGTTGTTAATCAATCACACATTTATTTAAATGACTCCAAATAAATACATGACATCCGAGTGTTAACAACAGAAACCGATTATGAAAAAGAAAAACAGATCTGTCTGCCTTGATGTTCTGACAAAAGACACGAAAAGAAAGCTTTTATATCCTATAAAACTTCATCAGCGCGTGCTGAGTAAACATAAATATGTGGTGGCGAGATTCGATCCTGGGTTTTATTATTTCAAAGGCTAGTATGCTAACCACTCGTCAGTCTTAGTGCACGATCGTTGCACAGCCAAGGTGTACTCTTACTACAAACGCCGAATATTCAAAATTGTTTCGTGACATTGTTCGAAAGTGAAATATAGGCAGACAGCGGAATGTGTTTTGTTAGTCTGGAAAGCATTACTTATACACAATAATTCATTTTTCAAGACCTTAGCTGGCCTTGTGGTTAGCATATTCGATTGGACATTCAAAGGTCTCGGATTCGAGACGTGGTTTTACTAAACATGTTTCGCACTTCCAGGTGCAGATTTGTTATAAGAGTGACAGTTAATCATGGTATTCGTTTAAAAGTAGTAGCTCCAGGCGGGCAATGTTGCCGACTGGTTTTCTTTCCTCTGGTCTGCCCTTCACTCAAAATTAGGGGCGTCTATGCCTCGGCTATAGGGGTCTCTAATATGGTCGTTTAACCCATTGTGTGCATATTTGTCGCTCAGGTGAACACACAAACACAATAAATTAATAATATTTGGTAATACAGTTACAAGATGATAAAAACTCAAAACCAGAGCGCCTTCGAAAGGTGGACCTTTCTTCTTCGGGGGCAAATCAAGCCCTTCTCTCGTCAATCGGAAAGGTGTTTTTCTTCTCCACTACAAATGGCCTTCACTCAAAATTAGGGGCGTCTATGCCTCGGCTATAGGGGTCTCTAATATGGTCGTTTAACCCATTGTGTGCATATTTGTCGCTCAGGTGAACACACAAACACAATAAATTAATAATATTTGGTAATACAGTTACAAGATGATAAAAACCCAAAACCAGAGCGCTTTAGAAAGGTGGACCTTTCTTCTTCGGGGGCAAATCAAGCCCTTCACTCATCAATCGGAAAGGTGTTCCTCCTCACCACGACAATGCACGTCCACATGTGGCACGTTTGTCGCAACACAAGATTATGGAGTTGGGTTGGGAAGTTCTCCCCCACCCACCATATTCTCCAGATATGGCACCATCAGATTACCATCTTTTTTGTTCGCTGCAACACTATCTTAATGGGAAAACGTATACAAATGTGGAAGGTGTTAAAGAGAACATCGACATGTTTTTTGTTTCAAAGCCAAGTGATTTCTTTAATCAGGACATTGACAACCTGATTGTAAGACAGAAAAGCATCATTAATAAGAATGGAGACTATTTCATTTAAT